TGTAGCGTTTCAGTGTTAAAATATCTATTTCGCTAGTTTCCTCAATTTCATAGGTCTCCTTTTTTTCATTTCGTAAGTTTTCGGGTTCGTAAGTTAAGCTACTAAATTATCTTAGGATCATGTAATGTTTTACATTTTCTTTTGAAATCATTTATGGTCTAGTTTAAGATCATTATCATTATATTAGCATTTTTATCGAGTTTTTTGTATCTGTTCACCCTAGCTACTACGTGGTATATAGTAGGGATGGTTGTTTATTTTTAGCTCAAACGGTAAAACGGTCGAAAAAAAGACTAAGAGACGAAAAGAATCACGTTTAGTTTGAAAAAAAGRTAGCACACTTTTTTGTTTCTCCTCGAAATAACACTCTAACTATCAACCATGGACTTTGACAATAATAAGACTGGATGCCGCGCTTTCTTCCATTACACGTTGCCAACTTACAGACCCTAGCAACCTGGTTTTTTCATATCTGACCATCCCATGCATTAGACAGTTGCTTGTTTTTAGTACTGAACACAACATAATGTAATTTGCTACATTATCCTTGGTGCTTAATACAAAATAAAACCGAACTTTCAATATGCTCTCATCTTCAGGGTTACAACGAATCTTTTTTAATACAACTCAACAAAAAACYTTGCCATCAAAAACATCTTTTTATTGCAAACAACTTTTTCAAGCTTGAAATCCAGGGKCAGYCTTGTATCAATCGAAACTCGGAAAATTGCTGTCTCCGAATGTGATGTCAATACGTAGAACCCTTTTGATTTGTCAAATTTGTTGCATACGTCACCACAGAACAGCAGTTATAGGGTGCAGTGAGTGCTAAGTTCAACGCCAGTCTAACATACTGTTCAGTGAAATTGTGCTCACATTTGAGGTCAAGCAAATCCCGCGCCAAGCGATGGAAGTGAAGCAGATCGTTTTGGTTAGTTTTATTGTGTTGGCATTGGTTGGCACTAGTATTGCAATCAGCCCAAGGTTATCGACTGSCAGYGGCGGTGGGAACATTCCACTCCATGCCAAAAGTAAGTATACTTTTCATTGATCGTCAATAATTTACTTAAACAACAGAAAACATAAAAATGAAATTGTAAAAAAATATGTAGTGTTTTTCTATTGTTTGCGGAATAAAAGTCATGTTTTAGCGTAGTAACAGACCTCAAATTAATTCAATTTTAACTAGATACTTGTCTAGTTGTATAAAAGTGAAGCCAAAGATCCGAACGATYTAATTAGCAAGAGATCTCGGCTTCAGCAATATCCCATGAGTCCGAAGGACGAATGCACATCGGGTAATCCACGAGGCCAAGAAGTCTAATTATGTAATAGTTTCGGAACAAACTGATAGCTAAAATATTAGCCTAAATRTTTAACCAATTAACGCGAAAAAGTTTTGTTTTACTGCGCCATGTTTTTTTTCTTTTCTTATTTCTTTCCCAATAATAATGGTAAATCTAAAATAAGAAATCTAATCGAGCAGAAAATCAATGGGAGTTTAAAGCCATTATTATTTAATAGTGCTAGATTATAGAATTTATGGAACACAGATGAAGAATCGTCTAGACCACTAGAGACGCCMTTTGCATTAATTGTGAAACAGTCGACCAATAAGAAACGACAATTCCCAATCAAATTGTGCATTAAAAGCTTTCAAAACCATAATAGTGGACATTATCAGGTGATTATAGCTAGGGGGGTCTCAATGGGGTTAACCGTGAGCCGTTAAATGGCTGAAAAATTAGCCGTGAGGCGTGAAAATGAGAAAAAAAAATTAGCTGGGAGGCACGAAAAAGCCAAATATTTAGCCGTGAGCCGTGATGCGAACCACCTTCTAACCCCTCCCCTTCCTCATTGAGACCCTCTTTATAGAGCTGTTGATAGTCGAATGCTATAGACAACTATTTTTAAAGATTAATTRATTACTAGCTATGTGCCGGGCAATGTATAAGGTATATGTTTCGTGTGGGTGGTCAATATCGATAAAAGTACAGTAAAAAAGCAATAATTAACAACGGAAAAATTCCGATATATTTCTTTTCTCTAGGAAAATTGGGAAAACAGAAGCCACTGAAAGCTTCTATGAAGTCTCGTGCCGCGAAACACGATCTGATGAAGAATAAGAAAGACCAGAAAGCCCCACCATTTCAAAGTTGGGGACAACTGAGTTAGAACTTCAACTGGCATAAAATGTTACTGTTTACCTACGATTTATAATCCGCCTTCTGTAATCATAAAATATCTAAAAGCAAAGCAGTAAGATTTGATATTAAACTGATAAGATCAAAATAAAAATGTCGTTATCTTCAGCATAAAGATCAATAAAAAATCATATTAAAGAATGCGCAGTAATTATCATGAGGGTCTGTTTGAGAAATGAGAGAAAAAATTGTTCGCCAAGGCAACATGCCTTAATACTTGATGAAACATTGAAAATAACATCTTCGTACATAGCTTAAAATTGTAAAACTTGTTGACTCAAATCCGGAAAAAGTTCCAGTAATACAATATAATAATTTCTGATAATTCCAATAATAATTTGAAAAAGAAACATAACTTTCCACACAGAGATCTGAAACAAGGCCTGAAAAAGCATCATGGACAACAAGATAAAGAAACATTAATTTCCATAGTAGTAAAACAGAAAAATTCAATTTTTAATAGCAAAATGTCCGTCTCGGTAAAAATTAGTTGCAAAGGTATGGGTACTATGCCAAGCATATAAAGTATCGTTTCTTTAACAAAGAACATGACCATGTCGCAGATTTCTTGACACTGCCTTGGACCAAAGTCTTCTCCCAAAGCACGCCGTGTAACTGAAAATAATGAAACATCCTTTAAGGCACTAAAGGCTAGTAAAACAAGCTGAGAGGATGAAGAAGACGGAAGGTACTTGCAAAGAGAGAGAAACGTAAGTCATTGACGCACGTTTGAAAATCAGCGAACGGAGAAGAAAGCGGCGAATAAAGCAGAATACAAGTGAGAACATTTCGTTCTGGTTCCCTCGCTGTTTCCTTTCCTTCCCTTCCTTCCCTTCCTTCCCCCTTCCATTTCCCTTCCATTTCAAAGTTAAGTGGAGATACAGAAGGAAGCCGCACCTCCGAAAATGGAAAGGACGGAACGAAACCACAGGAAGTCCAACATTAAACATACCGCTTTCTGCCTTGAACATACTGCACTGTAACTTTCTTCAAAATCCAACGTTTTTCATTCCATACTTCAATCCTTGTCAATNAGTGTTTAGGCCCTGGGGAAGAATACAGCTTCATTTCTCTCCTACAACCTCACTCGGGTTGCACGTTACGTCATCGCCGCCATGGATGACAATAACAAAGCATTCCTCATTAGTTTCTCTTGTTCAGTCATTCAACATGTTAGCGATAGCTTTGTTCTTTATTTCTCGAGGGATTTTTGATTATGTGGTTGCAACCCAAGAATAGAGCTGCTACTTGGGCGATTACAGAACCCCTATATGCAGAATTTTGTATGTATGTCACCTGTTTGTACTGAAAGGCGATTAAAATGCTTAGAATCTCTTCTTAAATTGCTACATTAGCCTTACTTTGCCAGGTTGATAGTTCCTGTGTTTCGGCCTCGAGTTCCATAGATGCGGATTCTTGGGTTTAATCCGGAGAACGTTTTACCAGTCGCAAATGTGATATAGACATATCGATACACTAAAAAAAACATAATACAATCACTGAAATATCAGGTTTATAATGTATTAAACGATACCGAATTTTTTGGGATAAAAACGTTTTCTCAAAAGCGCGAGCGCTTCCTCTGGAAGTACTTTAATAGTAATAGCAATTAACAATATGCACCGACGTCATTTTATACATTAAAGCATGATGGGAGATCGTAGTCCTCGCATTTTTTCATGGCCGCTAAAACAACCCTCCTATATGCTCTTTTTTTTTTGCAAAAATAGAAATAATTTTGATGTTTCTATAAAAAGAAAACATAAAAACAACTTTTAGTGAGAGTTTTTTAAAGGTTATTAAAAGAGTGAGGACTCGATACAACTCCCACCATGCTTTGCTTTCCAAAATGGCGCCGCTGGACACTGCTACTAGACTGTACAAGCGAGACGGATCAAAACTTACCACAGAAAGGCTTATTCTCGTTGGTGTAAAGGTAGAAATTCCCACTGGCCAATTCTTTGTACTTGGAGGCATTTTGTCCCATTTCTGGACAACTACTTCCGGCACAATTCATGCARCTACCACGGTTAAATCGGTCCCAACTTGAACAACGATAGGAGCGAAATGCACACCGGGATGTGATGGTATCTRTGTAGAGTGATGGTGCTCGTAGATGGTCGCAAATGACTGGCATTAGAAAAAAGATATCATAGTTTTCATTATCATTATCATAATAATCGAAAAAAATTATTTAAGCTCGAAAGGGATGCTGGTAGGCACTGCCCCTTTAAGCCAACTATTTCCATGTTTGTACTATACAGCTKTTATAAAGCAGCTCTTTAAGATCTAACATTTGTGAAATTATCAAACGCGGTACTTTTACGCTTCTTACGTTTTTTGCATCCTCTCTGCTTTGTTCCTCCATTTGGCCAAAAATCAAAATGGCCGCTTTTGTCGGTCGTTCCATAATTAAGTCCAAATATGGTACCAGCATCGGTATGGATGACGTCAACAAAAGAGGCATCGGTGGAATCAAGTTTGACGTCTTTGTGAGTACCCTTGAACCCAGGCCCTGCCGGATCAAGWCCTGAAATATTGRAAATGGAAATRTTTATAGTTAGATAAAAATATGCACACCTAGCTACAACCTTACGTTGTTTTACTAGTCAKCTCGGCTGACCCGCGTCGACCCTGAGTTCCCTTATGCYCCTGTATTCTATAATATTTACTTGAAGTACCTGTTATYCGACCAAGTGGGTCATTCCTGAGCCTTCGACCAACGTATCCAGCGATGTGCGCTCCCAAACTAAAGCCGATAACATGGAATGAAGCTGGAGTATTTCTCTTTTGGCGATTAAGAAACTTTATCAGTTGCGCTGTCTAGAGAAACACAATCATTTCAAGAAAAGGAAATACCCAGATAAAAATAACGTAAGCTAAGGGTTGAGTAGTCCCCTCGCAGTCCCCTCGCAGTCGTCTTTAGTTTCGGTCACGCGTCACGCAACCGGAGAAGTTGCGTGACGCGTGACCGAAACTAAACACGGCTGCGAGGAGACTAGGGGTTGAGGCGTCAAGGAAATTTACGACGTTTTTATTCTCCAAACGGATCTTCGCTAGCCTCCGTGCAGCCGATTCAAAACTGGTGTTATTTTCGTATGGGATCGTATGCCTTGTATCGTGTTCTACGCGTACTTCGCTCTCATTTTGAATTCTAACGAGTACGCTCATTGGCTACTGTACAATCCTCCTAGTCCCTCCCCTGCTAATGTACATTACCATTGATCCGACTACAAGAGTGTTGGCTACGCTTGTCCAGTAAGCCTTCATTGCATTCCATCCGACAACAATAATATTGACGTCCTCCTTGTTTATGAGTGCCTTCCTCATTTCAGTGATCCAGGCCTCGYTTACCTTCTCTGTAATTTAAAGCAAAATATTTAAGTGAATCTTTTGATTTTTCCTGTATTTTAGACCAATGATCCTTTCCTTGATGGCATTGGCGAGATGCATCATGGGAATGACGAGATGAATCATGGGGATGGCATTGACAAGATGAATCATGGGAATGGCATTGGCGAGATGCATCATGGGAATGGCATTGGCGAGATGAATCATGGGAATGGCATTGACAAGATGAATCATGGGAATGGCATTGGCGAGATGAATCATGGGAATGGCATTGGCGAGATGAATCATGGGAATGGCATTGGCGAGATGAATCATGGGAATGGCATTGGCGAGATGAATCATGGGAATGGCATTGGCGAGATGAATCATGGGAATGGCATTGGCGAGATGAATCATGGGAATGGCATTGGCGAGATGAATCATGGGAATGGCATTGGCGAGATGAATCATGGGAATGGCATTGGCGAGATGAATCATGGGNACAACTCTAGTGTGTAGCCATCTCATTAAATACTTTTCTAAACGATTCTTGTCCATATTTCGCAAAGAAACTTCTTCTTCCATAGTTTTATGGCGTCCGGCATCTTGATATGTTCATCAATACCATGATGCGCTTCGCCAAAACACCAATTACGTCATTTATAGAGGATTGTCAGCGCGAGAAAAAAATTGTGCAAACCTCACCTCTAAATCCATGGATGATAATTATAGTTCGTTTACGACCATTGTAGCCAGACAAACGTAGAAGACGAGCGTTACTATCATTTATAACTGTAGTTCCAGATGGGTTTCKTCTTGTAGTCAAGAAGTATTTCACTCCAATCTTCCTCGGTGATTGTGGGAGAGGAATCAAGAGACGATTAAAGGGTTTTGTGCCGCTGAAACACCCGTATTTCCCATAACAAACTTAAAAAAGATAAAATACATGAACAGTGTTTGTATTGGTGAAATCAGATTGTCCAATAATAGACTTCTGAACCTTTTACGTCACTACTTGATTTTCAATGCATTGTGGGATCAGTTTCAAGAGAAAACAAAAGAAATCCGCCATGTTCTGTCCCAAACATATCCTACAATGCATTGCGTATACGGTATATGACGTAAAAGCTTCAGAGGTCTATTCCGTCTGGATGTTTTAAAATACACTGTGACGTCACGCTTCACGCAACAACACTCGGGTTCTATAATATTTGTTATTTACGATTTCCGCTTGAATTGAGAGTTTTCTAAACGTCGTCTCCTTCATTAAGAAATAAATACCATTACTTCATTATCAAAACAAAATGCCATCAGTTTGGAGGAATGAGCGTTATGGGGGGTTCTAAATACTTTTAAACTGAAAGAATTTTAAAGTATCACCATCATTCCCTACGTAAGAAAAGAAATCTTTCTTCGGAACGGAAACTGTAAAATTGTCTTGATATTATATTTGAAAAGAGTTTTAACCTTAAAAGAAACTACAAATACTTATGAAACTGAAAAAAAAGCTTCCGCAGCCAGACAACACATATTGCATTGTCTAAAAGTATAAATTCAGGAACTAAAGATACCAATTCATAGTGTATTCTAATTAAATTAAAGAGCTCATTTATATATAATTCGTCCTTAAATTTCTGATTTAAAATGTTAAAAAGCATTAGAAAGTCAATTTAAAGTTAAAGATAAAAAATTGGTTTCGAAAATGTAATTTTTACAGAGCAGTAGAGTCCCTTAGAATACAATCACACGTTTCAGTACTTTCATTCGGGCAAGTAGCACCAAAATACAACGAATATAATGAGTATTGCTTACCTGATTTCCTTCTACGTCTTCCAGCCCACCATTGGGCATCAGTTAACTGGGCCAAGAACACCAATATGGATAGAATAACAGAGGTCAAATGAATAATCCGAGGCATATCGAAACTGAGTAGCTCTCTATACTACGACTTTTGATTTTCGTTCAAGATTGTGAGCAACGTTTCAGCTTCTATGTATTATGATATGAATATTAATGGCTCGCCCACGAGGGGGTTCCCCTGTGGTCTTAATTAATCTATATTAGCTGCATTTACTAACGGGGGGAAGGGTAGTGGAAAGAAGTTGTCCTATGACAATTTCTACTAACTCTGGCTGAACGTATATTAAGTTCCCCCTCCCCGTCCCCAGTCAAATGYGCGATGGCAATGACGTGAGAAATAGTCAAAAAWTTTTAGCTGGATTTAATTTGACACTAAATTTAAATTTTAAGCCGATTTAAAGAGGTTTATCAGTTTAAATTGCGATTACAGGCCCCATTGAATATATGTCATGCAATATCATCGATTACRTGTCACGGTTRCAAGCGTTTCYTATTGRCTACTGTCGTCACGTGACTCATAAGAAAGTACACGTCTTTAATACACTGTCGAATTGAAGGCCATTTTCACATTGGTGATTTGTCGTCACTCCACCTTTACAACTGTAGTATTTAGTATTGTCATCAGGGTTGGCGTAAAGACCATCACTTTTATCATGGCAAAAGCCACCTGAAGGAAAACATATTTAACMTATATCAATTTATAGCGATTGCTGTTTATTCCATTATGTTATAAGACTTTTTTAGCTTTTCTAGGGTTTGCGATATTTTTTTTCAATGACTTCATGCTTTTTGGGCGAAGTGCATCATGGGTTGATGAAATTTTCAAGATGGCGCCTACCGAGGACGACATTTTAACACGCTATCCTTTATTGGAAATGTTTTGAAAGATATGAAATAATATGCCGAGACACTAACGTATGTAAAAAGACCCACATGGGAATAATCAATGCCTGTTGTTCGCAAAACAGTTCACTGTAGCGTCCGCCATCTTGAAAATCGCTACAGAGAGTGGCTGCATAGAGATTGCAGCCTGAAATACAAAGACATTGGCTTTTGCTTGTACTTTCATCAATCCCATAGTGCATCTCGCCGAACAACTCATGACGTCATTAGGGTGAGGTACATAGATACCTGACGGGGGTGATGTGGTAGGTGTTGGCGCTATTGTGGAATCTCTCAGCTGACGAAAGGCGAGTTCTGAGTAACGCTTTCCGTCTATGACATTTGCCTGGTCCCAAGATGCGTCCCAAAGCATGATTCCACCAATTGAACTTAGCCTGCCAACTTTCTGTAAAAACACATTTCAATAATACATCAATACTTATATAATAATAATATTAAATAAATAACAATCAATTATTTGTAAATGTTGTTTCCCATGTTGATTTGTATCATTATTTCTATCATATTACTAGTAATATAAGATGTTTGTTCTTAGAAATTTTTACTATAAAATTTATTACGATAAGACTCGACGTTTCGGTGCCATCAGCCACCATTTTCAAGAGTAAAGTAATTGTGAGTTCGTAGTTTGAGTATATAACAAATTTGAATATTGCGCGGCTCTAGGGAATACATTGTTATTGTTATCTTATTATTACTAATAATGATAAAAAATAAACATGGAAAACTGGAACAACATTTACAAATAATTTGAAGATAACGTTTTTTTTTTTCTTTTTCAAAAGAAGTTAATTAGTTTTTCATACTTCCATACAAAAAGTTTGAGAACATTAACATTATAACCCTCTGAAAGTGTTACAAACTTACTGTGTAGAGTGTTTGTAGCTTGCTTGGTGTGAGGTAATTATCTTCACTCGATGCAGCCTTCGCATGTGCTGGCAAAGCAATGAATATCAGAGGACCACGGCTTTTGCGTGACTCAGAGAAACCACGCCATWTTTTAAGAGTAGAATTAAAGCTCTCTCCGGCTCCAGCATGGCAGTAGTTATTGTAGAACTGGATGTATAAGTGATCCATTTGCTCACCAGCGAGCTCAAGACCTGCAAGAATTATCAAGGAATGACTTTATTGCGTGATTGAGAATAGCATTACTAAAATATCATCACGCGTGACTGAGAGAATAGCGTTACTAAAATATCATCACGCGTGACTGAGAGAATAGCGTTACTAAAATATCATCACGCGTGACTGAGAGAATAGCGTTACTAAAATATCATCACGCGTGACTGAGAGAATAGCGTTACTAAAATATCATCACGCGTGACTGAGAGAATAGCGTTACTAAAATATCATCACGCGTGACTGAGAGAATAGCGTTACTAAAATATCATCACGCGTGACTGAGAGAATAGCGTTACTAAAATATCATCACGCGTGACTGAGAGAATAGCGTTACTAAAATATCATCACGCGTGACTGAGAGAATAGCGTTACTAAAATATCATCACGCGTGACTGAGAGAATAGCGTTACTAAAATATCATCACGCGTGACTGAGAGAATAGCGTTACTAAAATATCATCACGCG